GTTATTAATGTTCACAATTTTTTCGTATATTTAGTTTATTTTAAAAAACTGCTTAATTATTAATGAATCTTTTAATAGTCACTAAATTTTTTTAACGTACTTTTCGTTTAAGTCTTTGCTTAATCATTTCTTCCTTATTAATGCCACGTAATGTACAGAATGTGTATAATGGAATTTTTTTGTCATTTATTGGCTTCACATAGGCTGCGTAAAGTTGTTCTGGGGTGATTCATGTCTTTATCTACTTATGGGTATCACGAGGGATTTATTTATTTAATATTAAGAAACAAACTCGGCATTATGGAGCATGAATATTGATTGACATTTCATTTACATTCAATAATTTGTTGTCCTGCTGACAGCCTCTTCAGGATTAAAATTCATGTAAGTGCTAAGATAACACATTAGTGTTAGCGCCGCTTAAGTATGACTTTTTAAAGAAAAAACTTTTATGACTATTATATAAAAAAGTACATTGTTACGTATAGATTTTTTTATTCTAACACATTTCGCTCTTTCTCTATCCACGTTGAAAAAACGTAGTTTGAAAAAACAATGATTGAACTGCATTACACCAAATCAATTACTAATAAAAATTCTTCTTACTCCATATGTTATGTTTTAATTAACCTTGACAGTAATTAGAGTGTAATGAGGAAAGTTTTGTTAGGACATGAAAACATCTTACACAAAAATATGTGTTCACAATGAAATATAGTTCTAGCTTACCAAGTACTTTTAAAGTTGAGAAAGTATATTATTATTTTATTGGCTGTAAGTATAAAAGTAAGTACAATGTATAGAGATTCTTAGTGTACCCTAAAGATTTTAAAATAACTATCTTACGTGCCTGCAATGTAAAATTTAGAGCCAAAAACTTCAAGCAATGGATAATGAAGTACTTGAATCCACGGATTCGCTTAAAAAGTTGGAATTAACTTTTTCATAAGAATAAAAACCTTGTAAAAGGCTTTGACTATTACGAAAAAACTTAAATTTAGCTAGTGATTCTCTACATTTAATTCATTATAAGCTTTTGAAATTATAGATAGTTTAAGTTATTAATGTTCACAAACTTCAAATAAGCATGATGTTATGAAATCCTTGATCTCAGGTTTAGATATTACTTAGTTTTATACTTCATATAACTTTCAGTGCCCACGGTTTTGTAGACTGGATTATCAACATGAACGCTTAGAAGCACTGAGTCTTGTCATTTCTACGTATTCTAAGAATCTTCATGAACTACGTTAAATACTACAGTTACTGCATATTGATTAACAAAGCTAGCTGTTTTGAGAATGTTGTTCCATCGGAAAAAATTTCTCTCTATGACATACTACTAAAATGTTGAAAATTAGTACAACAAAGTTTTACGCATATAAGCCTAGTTAAGATCGTACTAATAATACTGATAAAGTTTAATAACTCTCATCTTGTTCTTACTGTCTTTATTAAATTGTAAAAAAAACAAAATAGTTTTCAAAAGCAGGACTATACATTACAAATTTACATATGTGATATATTTCGCATTAAAATAAGGCACACTTTGGTCGCCTCATGTTTTTACAGCAGATATATTACATCCAATTGTCCAATATGTTGATATTAATGAGATATCTTTGAGCATGGCAATGAGATATTGCCAAAATATTGGACACATGTGACTTGTAATAAATAGCCCTGCTCTTGAAAACTATTTTTTCTTTATTAACATGTCGATGATACTGATGAAATGCGAGTAACTTTAGAAAATTTTTTTAAATAGATTACAAGAAATAATAGCATTCTCCGCCTTCTAACCGCAAAACAGCACCTTTGCTGCTTGATTTTGGATTCTCAGGCGGAAAAATAGTATACGAAACTCATTCGAAAAGGTTTCTTTACGCACTTTGTTACGGTCCTCGCCTTCGGCTTGTGCCGTAAACCTCTCAGTTCGTAAATCGAAGCCTTCGCAAACTCGTGCGTAATATACTATTTCGTTAATCGTATTTTTATTCGTAAAACTTTTTCTGTTGACATGGTATGAACAATATATTTTAGAAGTACAGGGTATAGTTAGGAAATGTTATGAAGCTTGAATTTTTTGACACAATAATCCCAACGACTTATCGAGCCAAAAGCCTGGTGCATGGCCAGATTATACTTAAGTCTTAATTTAAGGACTAATATTTAACTACGAGACATTTGACTCATGTGCCTTGTGTTAAGTAACTTGCGATCTTTTAAAACTTTTGAAAAACCAAACGAGTTTTTATTTCTTGTTAAAATTTAGTTAATAAATTTTTTTTTAATATTTNGAATTATTCTTGAAAAAACTTTTTTTTTCTCAAGGTCAATTGTACGTGGCTTTATCGAGATGCAAAAATAAAAATGGATTTTTTTATTTAAACCGATAGAGAAAACATTTTGAATATTAAAAATATAGTTCGGAAAAAAATTTTTGATTGTAAGTTATAATGTATCTAATAATATGGTTCTCCGAATCCTTTTGTGTGAATATATTCTCAGGACTTTTACATCTTGATAACAATATGTATAGTTGACTATGAGAAAACAAAGTTGGCATCATCAAATATAGATGTTTAATCCATCATATCAAAATTATGCAGGCTTATGTATCTTGGAAGCATGAAGATGATAAGATAATTGTATTCGAAAGAGCTGCATTAGTATTCGTTTTTAATTTTCATCCAGTAAAATCGTTTGCTGATTATCCTGTAGGTCTGAACACATTCGGGACCTATAGAGTTGTATTAAATAGCGATGATACTCAATTTGGAGGGTTTAACCGTATTGATACCAGTATCCACCATCATGCTGAAAATAAAATTTTTTGTAATAGATTATACAGAATGCTGATTTATATACCATCTCGCACTGCAGCAGTTTATGCTATGGGTAATTACATAAATTTTATTTATTTTGGATTTTTGAGAGATATTGTGATAATCAACAAACATATATTTTACCTTACAGATAATTCAAGCAACTGAGATAGTCATTAAATGATACTTTATGTGCAAAATAATTGTATTGTTTGTCATTAGATTTGTGTTACTTTACAGTATTATTTAGGAACCTCAGTTTTTTTTGTTACTATCCGAATAAGTTAACTAAAATGATGTTCCATTAAATAATGTATTATAAGTGTTCGTATGATATAGTTGTTGTTTCTCAGAGTAACGTTGGTAGTCACTTAGAAAAGACTGCTTAGTGATGAAGTAATTCATTTATTTACTGAAATTATTGATTTTATACTTATTAACAGTATTTATGTAGATTTATGAATCAATGATTGCTTTAAAGTAGATTGTAACTTTTTAATTTTAAAATTAAGTTAAATTATTCAATTTTTTTTTTTGAATTGATTGTTTTTTAAGATATTGACTCAGATATCATTATTAGTGGAATAGGTATATGTTGTATACTACTTAAAGAAAAAATTACAGTAATAATTGATATTTTTTTATTAGTCCAGTTTATTCAACATATACTATTTTTTTCGTATATTTAGTTTATTTTAAAAAACTGCTTAATTATTAATGAATCTTTTAATAGTCACTAAATTTTTTTAACGTACTTTTCGTTTAAGTCTTTGCTTAATCATTTCTTCCTTATTAATGCCACGTAATGTACAGAATGTGTATAATGGAATTTTTTTGTCATTTATTGGCTTCACATAGGCTGCGTAAAGTTGTTCTGGGGTGATTCATGTCTTTATCTACTTATGGGTATCACGAGGGATTTATTTATTTAATATTAAGAAACAAACT